TATTTTATATACAGAGAAACATTATATAAGGTTGGAATAGCATTTCCTTGTGTTTTCGGGGTCGTTCTACAAGATGCCGGCATCAGAATGCGTTTAGATTCACAATAAAATCCAATATGGCGGAATCTTTGGAAAAAGTCGTGAAAAATCGACAATTTTATTTTTTATAAGCTTGATTTCGTATCAAAAACGTTACTTTGATACAGATACAAGTGTCACATCTTATCTCAAAAATGTTGAACTTTCAAGGTATGCATTGGTGAAAATGTGAATTCAAGACGGCTACCTCAAAATGGCGGTTTGAGCGAAAAAACTTAAAAAATAATGTATTTTTAGAATAACTTCACAACATCCTAGTATTTAGCATCAACTTAGCATCCAGGGTACTGATTTTAGAATATTTGCTGACAACTAATTCATATTAGAGAATTTCAAAATGGCTGATCCAAGATGGCGACTAAAAGACACGAATAATCGTGAAAATTTCCAGATTTTCATGAATTTTCTTCTATTATTTTCATATTCATGAATTATTTTCGGGACGTACACACGCACATATACAGAGTGGGAAATTATAAACTTACGAACTTTATAAAAAACATAAAAAACATCTTATATAACTTATAAAAAATAAAATTGTCGATTTTTCACGACTTTTTTCCAAAGATTCCGCCATATTGGATTTTATTGTGAATCTAAATGAATTCTGATGCTGGCATTTTGTAGAACGACCCCGAAAACATAAGGAAACGTTATTCCAACCTTATATAATATGTTTCCCTACATAAAATACAGTTGCAAAGTAAGGCTAATATTTTAGGACTTTTGGGCGTTAATGGGTTAAACCAATAGATATCTCATAATAAAGCTATCATTCTGGATTGGTTGCTATTTATTTGTACATGAGGTACTAGCGATTTTGGAGATACATTAAATATATATTTTGAGAGATCTGCCGTTTCAAATTTAGAATTAGAACTTGGTAAGCAGACAATATATTTCTTCTTCCTCTTTCCCCTTTCTCTCTCTAATGATATTCTCTTCTTTATGTAAGGAGAATACATTATTTGGAAAATTCTGTTCTTCATCTTCATTACCGGTTGTTATACGTAGTAATTTTCTATTTTTTTGGGTAGACATGTACACTATATAAATTTTATAAAATAACAAATGAATAAAATATGAAAAATTGACTACAAATTAAAATAAATAAACACTTATATTATAACAAGGTAATATGTCCACACGAAATGACTCACAATCCGATTATAGCAGCAGCGAAACTGAGACTGGACTACATTATTAAAAATAAGAAAACTTCAAGATGCTATCGAAATTTTTTTATTTCATCGGTTGTTATGCGACATGCAAAGATTGCGTATACCAAGCGAACAAACAACAAACAAATATCGATCCAAACAAACAGCGAATTCGGTAAATGTGTACTGGTAGGTACCCACTAAGCGAACGAATATATCAATCGATTGTAAGAACTCATTAAACGCTCAATGAGCGGTCATACTACTGGATACACTCAGTAGTATCCTATTGAATTCGCTGTTCGTTATTCGTTCGTTTAGTATGTATTCATTTTTTAATACATCTCTTCATGAGCAAGCCGGATTGGAAGCGAATCGAACACTGATGAACGTTCAATTCGTATTTGTTATAAAGTACACATTCACTATTTGAATGGACTATCCGTTGTTCATTATTCATTGTTCGTTCACCATTCGTTCGCTTAGTCTATATGCACATCAACAATATGTTCAATATTATATCAGTTTATTAAAACAATAAATGTGCAATTGAGCAAAATTTATTGTTTACACAGGGTCGGGGGTTGTTATAAGTTTACAACTCGAAGTGTGAAAGTAGATTGGGTTAAGACAAACATAAAAGTCCCATACTATTTTGCGAGATTCGCAATAATTATTGAGTTATTAATGACAGAAATTTGAGGAGTGGGAGCGCGCTGGCAGAGATGATTGGAGAAGCGTTGTAGCTGCTTAGGCCGCAGCGCAGCCCAGTTGATCCAGCAACTGTTGCCGATGCGCCGCGAGGGGAAAGACAATGCGCTGCTATTCGTTGTTTTATCTCGCCGGACCTACGTCTCGCCGCACGCCGCCAACAGTTGCTAGGTCGAGTAGGCCGCGCTGTACCCTGAGTAGCTGCCACGCTTCTCCAATCATCTATGTCGGTGCGCTCCCATTCCTCAAATTTCTGTCATTAATAACTCGATAATTATTGCGAATCTCGCAAAACGGTATGAGACTTTTATGTTTATCTTAACCCAATCTATCTTCACATTTCGGGTTGTAAACTTATAACACCCCACCCTGTATATTGATGAACTTGTGGTAACGTATACAGAGTGTCCAATTATGTATCACTTCTTATAACTCTGTAAGGAGCGGTCGTAGAGAAAAATGTTCCAAACAAAAGTTATGTGGTTTCAAGAGGAACAAAAAACAAAACTATACCAGTTTGTTTACAGATGGCGCCACTTTCGAGATATTCACTGATCATTATTTTTCTTAAATGGAATTCCAATTTTTTTATATATCATCTTTTTCTATCAATTAATTTGAACAACTTTTGTCCGAAACATTTTTTTATTTGCCTAATATTTTTTGAGACGTTTGTCTCAAGAATATATCGTTACAATAACGCACTAACTTTTGTTAACTTATCAACTTTTGGAAATATCAAAATCATCAAATTAATAAAAATCAGCTATTGTAACAATATATTCTTGAGATCAAGTAGAGTAAAAAAGTCTAGTACCATGCTTTCTTCCGACAAATAGTTAGCGAGGTATCGTAAGTTAAATATTGAAAAAGTTACCAAATTTTTCTTAAATATCTCAAAAAGTATTAGGCAAATAAAAAAATGTTTCAGGCAAACATCGTTAAAATTGGGGTTTCCATTTAAGAAAAATAATGATCAGTGAATATCTCGAAAGTGGCGTCATCTGTAAACAAAATGATATAGTTGTTTTATGTCCCTCTTGAAACTATACAACTTTTGTCTGAAACATTTTTCTCTACGACCACTTTCTGTAAAGTTACGAGGAGTGATAGATTAAAATTGGCACCCTGTATACGTCTCTCGTATATATTATTGCACATATGAGAACATATATATATATGTATATAGAGTCAAAGAATTAGAGTCAAGGATTGCATCCTTGAGTTCTGACGTTAGCTAACATCTTTTTCGAATTTCTTTCGTCGGTAACATTTTAATAAATGAAGAACGATAGCTAAAACTTTTTGAAGGATATTCAGGATCGTGATTAACAGCATATTTCAAAATGACTAAAATTAATGAGGTCATTCTTACTATGCATAATTACTCTTTTTGTTTATAACTTTTATTTAAGTAATTACTGCCAACTTTTTCATAGTAAAGGTTATTTAAAAATATGACTTTGACAATATATGTCAAGATCAAAGTCTTTTTAAGATGTTCTTCTAAAAGGAAATATTTATTCAAATCTCTTGGCCATTATTTATTATTATTATTTACTTACAAAATAACTAATTTTATAAAAACATGCATATTTAGCTTGTTTAATTTATTACTCCTTTTTAACATCCAAATGAGGAAAAAATTATTAATAAAGAATATTATTGTAATAATATTCAATAGCATCTAACATTCCTTTATATAAAATCTTCATGTTTATATTAATATCATTAAAAAATTATTAAAATTACTAATATCATTAAAAATAACTTCCAATATTTCAATATATTTCATAAACATTTTAACAATATTTAAGAAAGAGGCGTTACCCGAAAATATTTTTAAAACATTTATAAAACATTTATAAAACAGAGAAAACGTTTGAGAGATATGTTTGAGATATACATAAAATTAATATTTGAAAATGTTGATTTAACGTGTATTCATCACAGAATAGTCTAAACCTTTTTTTTTAAAACGGGCATATATACAAGGAGAAATATATATTTTTTTAATTACATGAAAAAGCGAATTATATAAAAAAAACGAAAAAAGAAAAAAAAAGGCAGAAAAGTTGGAAGGAAAAAACAAAAAGGATGGAAGAAAAAGGATGAAGAAAGAAGGGAAGGAGAAAACGAGAGAGGGGGTAAGGAGGAATTGTAGAGGGGTTGAAGAAGGTTCGAAGAGAGATCAAGGAGAGGTCGGAGAAGGGTCAAGAATAGGTCCGAGAGGAATCGGAGAGGGTTGGAGAGGGGTTGGAGAGGCTTTGGAAAGGGGTTGGAAAAGGGTTGGAGAGGGGGATTGGAGAAGTTGGAGAATTAGAGAGAGGGAGAGGAAGAAAAAAAGATGTTGAGTGAGTGTTGAGAAAGGGGAGAGAAGAAAACGAGAAAAAAAGAGAGAGGAAATAGATAATGCTAATTTTTGCTATTATGCCGGTCATATCGTGATATATCGTTTTTTCATTTTATAAACTTCAATGGAAATATGCTGAAATTTGATTAGGAAGGAAAAATACATAAATTCAGTTTGTTTACTAGGTACTGGTGAAGGTAACGACATAGAATTAATTTACACGTCCAATACAACAAACGCAAAGAAAATTCATGGAATTTAAAAGTTACATGCGGAATGCGTATTCGTATATAAAAGGTGCCTCGTCATATACTAAATGTTGTTTCGTGCTATGCTAGATGCAATCTGATAAAAATTCCACTAGTTTTTATGTCGGAATACTGGAATACTTTAAAGATTATTTTATCATTGGTGAACTATTCTCGTTACTTAAATATCAAAATAACAAGAGATAACAGAGCGAACTTTGTCACGATAATTTACGTCATTGAAATACGTAAATTAAAAAAATGATCTTGCGATAAATGGCGTCTTTGTGCAAAATCTCGTTAGAGGAGAAATCAAATCTAGACTTGTCTGAGCACGTCTGAGAAGGATATCCGGTACCATCGAGTCGTCCTGCATATACATGTCTATGGTACACACAACGTGCCTCTCTGTTCATGTCTGACACTTACCTAACCGTTGTGTGTTGTTGCTCTAAAAGTACTGCCGTTAATCACGGGCGTCTCCGTCGCCGCGATCCTGCGTCCCGACGACGCGCACCGCCCGAGAATGATGAAGCCCAAGAATGTCATCGACTCTCACCGCTGCATGACGCTGCTCGCCATGCATGACACATCCTGGCATCTAGGATACGTACATGTATATATACATACACATACAGCAGGACACACACGCACATACACAGCACACGTACGCACGCACACGTGTCACAGAGCCAAAGGGACAATCGTTTTTGACATGTCGATATGAGCCGTCAGCGGCAACGACGATTTTGACAGAAGACACACGCTCGCGGAACAAGGCGACAAGTAGATATCACGCCGCGCGAGCGAGCGCATGCATCAATACACCCACACACACACACACACACACGAAATACACGCACATACACACGAAAAAATCACCGATAGCGACAAGAACGCGTTCCGCGTCGTACTGGCGACACTGCTCGCTCACGGACTCACGCGACGAACACTCCCGAGGACAACGACTTCCCCCACCAATCGTGCGCGTTCGACCCAGGTGTACTCACCCCTCTTCCACACCTCCCTCACCGATCCCACGCTGTTCCATTCCGAACCGCGCACACCGCGCGTACGACCTTTCTCGTCCTGCCGCTCCGTCTGTTACTCAAAGCTATATTTCTTTTTCTTCCTACTCTCTTCTCCTTTTATCCCCTCCTCCCTCTCCGCCTCCGCTCTCTCTCTCTCTCTCTCTCTCTCTCTCTCTCTCTCTCTCTCTCTCTCTCTCTCTCTCTCTCTCTCTCTCTCTCTCTCTCTCTCTCTCTCTCTCTCTCTCTCTCTCTCTCTCTACCTTGTATCTCGTTGTCGCTTTCTCTCTCCGTCTCTCTCTTATCTTTCTATTTTTCGCGCAAACTCACTTCCCTCGCAAGCGGAATAGGCTTACTCAACCCTCGCGTTCCTCTCTCTTCTACTACCCTATCTCGCAGACACCGCCGATAAACGCGTCGCCTGTCTCGCGGCCACCCAATCTCCTGTTACTTCTCTTACATCGCATCGTGTCACGTCATGCTGATCAACGTGTGGGAATACAACGATCGAACAACGAAGTACATTCGGCAGATTCTTGTCCTTTTTCGAAGAATCAGTGTACACTATCAGAACTTAAAAAGGAACAGATATACTGTTGAGATTTGGTAGAAAAATAGAAAGAGAGGACTATTGCCATGTAATGCAGGGATACAGCGAAAAAGAACGAACCAAGGAAGTGACAGTGTGTGCACATGTCCTGGAACATCCTTCCTTTGACCGTCCAAATGTTTTTTCTCATTCGTATGTGTTCAAGTTATCAAACTTACAGAAATAGATTGTACACTGCCGTCTAGAATGGTTAGCAATAATCTTTAAAGTCAGAAGTATCAGATATTAAAATGATGTGGTAGCATCATAAGTACATAAAAATATTATCGATCAATTGTCGGTCGGTATAGTAGAAGACTCGACGTATAACATAATCCCATCATCATTAACCTTTTCCTGAGAATTTTTACGTCTACCATAAATTAAAATATCTTGGAAATTGAAGCTGTAATAAAAATTCAATCTCACTTTTCTTATAAATTGTCGATGTAAGCTTTCGACTGAGCCCTTCTTAATAAAAATTTGTAACATCCCTTACAGAAAAAACTCAAATATTAAGTGTTTACACTCGATTTTGAGAGTTTACTCTCAAATTTGAGTATATACATTTATATTTTACGTGTCTACACTGAACATTGAGTATTCATACTCTAACACTGAGTATTTATATCTAAAAGGTTGAGTATTAATATTCACAATTGAATATATTTTAAAAGATGGAAAATGTACATCCAATAACTAATCGCATTCAAGTATTCGCATTGCAATTTGAGTGTGAACACCGAACATTTAAAAGTTTATTCTGAACACTTAAGTGTGACACTAAATAAATAAATAAATAAATAAGTATAATTAAATAAATAAATATAAAATATAAAAACTATCGAGTGTTATTTTCTAGATTCTGAAGTCTAGATTCTTAAGAGTCACCTGAGTGTTAACTTTAATGGTTTTGTATTAACACTGAAATATTAAGTACGAATGCTCCTAAATTTTAAAACTATTTTCTAAACATAATTGCTTAAATTGTATAAATAAATGCAGCCAACTTCGAGTATTGCGATTGCAATTTATATAATAAACTCTTTTTATATAGTAAATTCTTAAGTTAAATATATATTGTAAATATTTTTTTTAAATACTTTCTTTCAATAAAAACCGGAAAATAATTGTGTAACAATATGTTCAATATGTTATAATGCTCTACAATAATTATTTATACCAACAGAAAAAAATCGAAGTATGCTACAACAAAACTTATTCATAAAATATTACATAATTATATGAGTAATAGAGAGATATAGTATAATAAATATGTAATATATCAGAAGTGTATATTTTTCTATAATATTATATTAATTGATAAATATGCATACGTATGTTGATCAGTTTCTATTTTATTAACTAATGTCATATAGGACGTTATGATAAAAATACATATTTACTATATATTTTTAGTGTATATGCATTATATTATTTTAATTTATCTAATAGCTATAATAAACAATTTATTAACAAAATTCTTAACTAATTGTTATTTAATAACAAATTGTTTTTCTTTGTATTATTCATTATTATCATTAATGCGTATTTTAAACGAATATTTTCTTTCAGAATATAGCCTATAAGGTGCTGCATTCATCAAAATGCATATCCAGTTTATTGTTATATTAAGCTTTAGTGTAACAACTACTTCAGATTTAAACACAAGTGCAATGTTACTCTCAACTTGAAAATTAACTTCAGGATTATTCTCAACTTGAGCACTCATTTGAATGTTACTCTCAATTGTAGAATAACGCTCAAATTAACTCTCAAGTTGAGAATAACATAGGCATAATTCTCAAGTTGAGAATGACACATCAACACTCAAGTATACACTCAAGTTGAGTATTATATTTGTTCGAATTTACACACAACATTTTGAATCTATTTTTAAGTGTTTTTTTCGTAAGGGATGAAAATGCAAGATTCTTCTCAAACTCAGTTCACAAACTCGTTTCCTTCGACACTGCTCAATTGTTAATCTCTTATATATGCTTTGAATATGTACATTGACTATGATTAAACCTCATGTAATTCTTACGGAAAAAACATTCAAATATTGAGCGTTTATATTCAATTGTTCGAATTCATTCTCAAATGTGGGTATATATACATTCAAGTTTATCATACATTTGAGAATAAATTCGAACAATTGAGTGTAAATATTCAATATTTGAATGTTTTTCTTTTTCCGGGAAATTTTAAGGGAAATATATGCACTATAAGTAATACATTTATCAGTGAAAGAATGTTTGAATAATAATAAATAGGAAAGCATAATAATAATAAATGAAAGAGATTGCAAAAAAATGATTGAATGAAAAAATTAATCATTAAATAAAAGTGAGTGAGTGATGGCAAATAAAGAGAGAAGCTAGAATATTAAAGTAGAAAGATTAAGGTATAATAATACTTTACAATACTAGAAACTAAATAAAAATAAGAACTAAATAAAAGCTATCGTCGATATTTATTCATCTAATATTTATCGGAGGCGACAATTTTGAAAATCAGGAATATATCTACCAAAAATATTATAAGATAGCCTACCAGGCCAGAATCACAACGTGGAATCGACGTCGATGAGAGTTGAATTAATATTAATATTGATTTAACGGTTTATCGACCATTTCAACGTCAAATCAACGTCGAATCAACGTTACGGTTCTGAATATCGGGGTAGCGTCCCGATATTCCTTAAAATTTGAAAATTTTTTTAATAGCTCAATAACGTATCAAATAATTGTCATGTCATTACCATATGCGGCTCGTTTCACAATTAATTATTTCTAGTCGCGGAATTTTACAGATAAGGGACTCCGCACAAATTAAATGGAAAATGGATCCCAGTCAATTTCGTTAAAAATGTAGTATGTCATTTTTGACAGCTTCCTGATCAAAAGACTCTATGGGCACATGACTAAAAAAATGGCCAGATTCCGAGATATCGAGGTCCAAAGATTGACCATGTGCTCGTGTGGTGGAGGGCATTGAGGTTGTTGTGGTGCATTCACTGGCTCATTTACTTTCTCTTGATAGTGTTTATACTTGATAGTTCACCTATAAACGTTATAACATATATGTATATATACATATATATAACAGGGTGTCCCATTTTAAAGGACCCACCCAAATATCTCAGAAACACTGCGTTAAATCTAAAAATGTTTTAGACAAAAGTTGTTTGACTTGAAGGGGATATAAGACAGCGATAGCATGTTGCTTATAGATGGTGCCACTTTCGAGATATTCACTGATCATCAATTTTCTTAAATGAAAATCCCAATTTTTTATTATATCATCTTTTTCTACCAATTAATTTGAACAACTTTTGTCTGAAACATTTTTTTATTTGCCTAATATTTTTTAAGATATTTAAGGAAAATTTGGTAACTTTCTCAACATTTAACTTACGATATCTTGCTAACTATTCGTCGAAACAAAATAGTATTAGACTTTTTTATTTTATTTGCTATCAAAAATATATTACTATAATAGTGCCCTAACTTTTATTAATTTAATAATTTTGAGATTTTCAAAGGTCGATAAGATCCGATCGTGCAACCTCCACGCGGTACGCCTTGGCCAATGCCGGCGATTTTATAACTTTCAAGTCCCATAACTTGGAAAATACTCAATAAAACATTACTTATTTATAGTGTTTTGGAAAGCTCTCGAGATAAGCTATAAGAATATGCAACGTAAAATAAGGGGTTCTATTTAAAAAAATAAAGTTGAACTCCGTATGACTTTGGTACGTTCACTCAAGGTCAATCCAATGACACCATCTTAATGCCCCCCTCGAACTAAATAACTTTTGTCTGAAACATTTTTTTCTAAAATGCATAGTTTATGAAATATTCGACCGTTTCCAGACTTTTGGTACACCCTGTATATAACAAAATGAAACGATCCCATAAGAAACGACAAAGTGATCGTTTCTTCCGAATTTTTTTAAGCCGGATTCAAATATGACCTTAGTTTTCGTCTAGCATGAAAATTCCCCGAGACAGATGGAGTTGAAGTGACACTTAACACCGCCTCTCACGGATCGGGATGCTTTTCTACTGTGAGTCATCTTGCCTCTCACATACAGCTTTTTTAATATGAATCCCCTTGCCTCTTATAGATTAGGGTACTTTTTCAATGTGAGTCCTCTTGCCTCTCACAGACTAGGGTACTTTTTCAATGTGAGTCCCCTTGCCTCTCACTGTGCAGGGATATTTTGTGAATCGTGATAGATACATTGCATATTTCAGGATTGGGTATTTGTATCCCATGGTATTGAGCAAATCCAAGGAACCACACAATTGTCATTACATGACTGCAACAATCTGCAGTCCGAGCACTACTTTGACAAATACAATAGTGTTCATGAATAGATTGTATTTCCTCGATAATTGAATTGCTTCGAAGATTTGATCAGTGATTAATAGGGAACGTATTTTCAGGATGCTTTATAAAGCATCCCCTTCCCCCATTAATTGAAATAGCGGTAAATATTTGATCGTTCATTCTCTCAACAATGAATCGTAGATGATCCATTCAACAGAAAATACCCTCAGTATTACATGAACTTCAGTCACGCATTCTTCCTTATGCAATACACCTTGATTGGAAATCATCACTTTCACCCCCTTGTATCTCCGGAACCGTGCCTATGTTCATCTTGAAATTTTACTGGGATTAATATTTCATCTAATAGTACTATTTGCCATGAAATAAAATTCGAAAATCGAGGTCCAAAAAATGGGCGAAATTTGCCATCACTCTTTGACGCAAATTCAAAATTGGCAGAGTTATTCATGGTGCTCGTATATAAGTTATTATTAGTGAACTGGTTAAAGGCAATACAAAGAAGTATAATCCAAACACATAAATTCCAACAATTCTGCACTACATATTTAATGATGTTGCAATGAAACAATTAGTAACCAATGAGAGTTCCTATCTGAAGATTAGTAGAAGTTATGCCTATTTACTTGGCAGATGATCGAAAATATAACTTTATGGGAAAAAAGAAACGATAAAAATAAAATATCTTCAGTGAGGATGCTACGAAACCACGTACAAAAATAATTCGATTTTGAAAATCATTTCCGAGAAGATATCGACAAAAACAGTTTATACGGATAATACCCGTGTTGTTTCAATGTTCTTCTAACCGAAATACTATTCCACTGCCTTGTGCCAGTGGCTGATTCCACTACCTCGTGCCAGTTGCTGGATACTAACTTATGATTTAACATTTACCGCTACTAAAATTGCACTAACATTAGTATCATTTGTAATATTTTCTAATTTGCGTTGTCCCAAATAAAACCAATTTTTCGAAGACGCTTTTCTAAACTTAAAAATGCTAGATATGATTTGTATATGTAGAAAAGTTTAGCAAACACAATAGCCTGCGGTAGTTGTGCTGGTAGTTGCATTAGTATTCACCTAGAATTAATAATATCAATATTTTTATTAAAAACTACCGTTTCAAACGTCTAATTTTCGAAGGAGTCTCGATAATACTAAAAAATACTCAATTTGTCTCAAAAAAGTACTCGAAAAGAATACTCGACTCAAAATAGTAATAGGTGACTATTTATCTTTCTAACTAACCTAATCATAAACACGAAGTTGTTAATATCTTATAAGAAATTACCTTTTAAATATGGAACATGTTTGTAAACAGTTTTGCAATAATTTAAAATATATCCTTTAATGTATCCAGTAAATTGAATTAAATTTTTTGCCATAATTTTTTAACAGTGCAGAATAAAATAAATATTTCAAGTAAATGTTATAAATTTTGAAAAGAACTATTCTAGATTTTTGAGAAGAACTATTGAGAAGAACTAGTGAAAAAAGTTGTACTTCATTCTATTCAAAAGATTGAATACAAGATGGGCCCTTATTGTCTCCTTAAGAGAGACCCACAAAAATATATTCACACCTTAAGTTAGCTCCTAGACCTAAGTAAAAAAAATTCGAATCCATATCTCCATCAGTTTCGGAAGAAACAGTTTGTGACAAGTTATTTAGCCCACTCACAAGCAAAATTAAGGAACGCGGAAATTCAAAAAATTTTGAAACTTTGTGTAGAAGTAAAATTCATCCGTAGTGCAAAATTATTTGTTGTTCTTGCAGAATTTTACTCTAAGGGAACGAAATCATCCTTCGAAAAAGAAATCATTTTTATTTTTAGCATATATCTTTTAACTCTTTAACGCCCGACTTTTTTATAAGTATTTTAAGAATAAAATGTTTTTTTGAACTGAGGCCATAAGTAATGATAACCAAAAAAAAATATCAGAATTTTACATTGGTTTTTTTTTATCGTTCGTTTTTTGTTTATTGGTAAATATGACTTGAATCCTAAAAGCATATGCGAAATGAACAACCTATATAGAGAAAAAAGGTAATCTATACGACAAAACTCTGATAGCTTGACATTTTTGAGCTGAAACTTTACTATATTTGTGAGTGAAGTTTATCATTCAGAGCGTCAAGCTTACTATTTCAAAAAAATATCTTATAGATCACCATTTAGATAGTCAATTGTCCCTTCATTTTTCGCCGCATAAAAAACTGTAGGTCACCAGATTGTACGAAAACAGGTTGATTTCTTGATTTTCGTGTCCACCATATTGGATTCGCCATTTTGAATTTCTGTATTCTTTTAATTTCACATTTTGCATCTGAGAAAGTTTCCAAATGTATAAAAAATTATAACAGATACCAATCTATTCATTTATAGTGCACTTCTAGATGTCAGTAACAATGCTAACTATGTTTACTTGGAATTTGACAAAACATGTTATCATTAAAACTGAGCTAAAAACAGATTAAACCGAATCTACATACAATCTACATACCATTTTTTAGAAGAAAAATTCACCTTTACAATAGTGCAAAGAAAACGAAAATATCTCCTTTTTTGACTAAGTTATGAATTCTTAAATATGTTTCTGGTAACTATAGTTACCAGTAGGCGTTAAAGGGTTAAAGTATAAGGCATATGCAAAAATGGTTTATATAAAAGTTGTAATGTATTTCGTACTCTTAGCAACTGTGTATTCAGATTTTACAAAATTGAAAAATTTTTTAAACCACCTCCCCTTCTCATTACTTTCAAAAATTTTTAAGTTGTTCTTAGGGCAAAAATAAAGAGCATCGTATATTAAATTCATTCATATATAACAATAGAAACTGGAGACGATTACAGTTTTTAATTATAATTACATAGAGCTATAAGCGCCGTAAGTAGGCGCTTTTGAATTACGCTGTACTCGATAACTGCGTCTTGTTATCGAGTTGATATTTTCCCATTCTGCAAGATAATAAGAATTTAATTCTAATGACATTGTAACATATTACATAAGATATGAACAAGAGCAGAGATTAATTTGTTGATGTAAAAATAATATTGTGTGCCAAAGGATAGGGATGCTGCGGATAAGGACATAATTCTCTGTATGCTGACAAAAGCTTACCTTGCACGTAAAATAATAATCTTGGTAGGATTCGAATGCTGCTCTTAAAAAAAAAATATTACTTCAATATTGTTTACTTGTCTGTTCTACATGTAGTATGCTACATGAACACCACTAATCACACAGCACTAGATAATTCATATGTTCTGCTACAATTTTTGAAGCAGCGATGGAACAATAAATTAACGTTAAAGACGGGCAATCTGCTTAAAAATACTCATGCATACTCGCGCATACTCATATATACTCGTCATAATTTTTCGCTCTATACGCTGAGCGGGCTTGAGAGTGCAAGAAACGAATATAAAAATGAAGAAACGAGTAGAAAATAAGCTAAAGTAGGTCAAAAACGGGTAATATGAGGATAAAAACGGTGAAATATTTTTGTAAGGGAAAGTAATAGCTGATGAAATAAGACAAAAATTTGAGGATTAAAAAGGAATGAAGATCATTTGTTTTTTACTCTACATTTGTTTATGTACCGAAGTAATTTATTAAAAGTTGAACTTACTAGTTGTCACCACTTTCAGATTGTACCAATTGGTTAAACACAGACGTTTCCGATAACTGTATTCATACAATTGTATAATTAACAAAATCGCATATCTATAGTCGTTCACATAAAATTCGTGATATTCTTTTACGAGTTTATGAACACGGAATTAGTAGAACTGCGAATCTCTGTGCACGAGCTTACGTATCGAAAACTCTGAAAGCTGTCATTTATAAATACGAAAGTAATTAAATCACGTTAATTTCGAGTGTTCATGAACTTATAAAAAGTGTTGCAAACTTTACGGAAACGTAAAGTCCGCTTTGCGTGTAATATTAACTCGGTCGTTTGACTCCAAAAATTTGATAATAATCAAATAGTCGCATTTGCAATACTGGATGTAGTAAACGAATATGTACAGACTATAATATATTTCTTTACGGCTTGCTGACACTAAAGACAATTAGATAAATCAATGAAATCAGGACACTTCATACACATTCGCTGCGAAAATACTGTTAGATGTTGCGCATAATTTAGGTCAGAATTAAAAAGTTTATTTAAGATTGAAAACAAAGACGCAATGTAGAACAGATCTCTTGAGCCACATGCACTCTGAGCAGCCACGCATTCGCATACTTATAATGATATAATTAGTATTTATTATGATTATGATACAAATGTTACATGGTTAATATCTTTATAGTAAGTCGGCAGTCAATGCTGGTCTCTGTAACACCGCCACCACGTTGAATGATCCTCATTATGTTCTAGAGAATATATATCTTGAGAATATTCTCGTTTCTTTCTATACTTCTCTAGGGCATAATTGATAGATCATACGGGGGCGTATGTCGGCTCAGGTCCCTAAGTATCTCCTCCTCCATCTTCTTCTTCTCCTTCACCATCAACTATTTACATAATTGCCTTGCGGAATCTCCGTAACATGCTGCGTTTATTTTATTCAATAAAAAAAAAAAGAAAAAAAGACGATTTTTTACATTGCTTTATCCAAATTTCCAGTCGCAGCGTATCAACATTTCGTCGCAATCTTTCACCGATTTTTTTCTTCAAATGAAATATGAATGTGATCACGCGTTTTTGTAGTAGAAGTACAATCTGTAATAAACGCGTTTGTGTGATACTTCAGATATACGAACATCTACAGTGAAATATCGTACAAAAGAAAAAGAAAACTGAAGCAAAAAACGAAGTGAAGACGAACAGAACCAATAATATAATACATCTGCGCCGTCGTTATTAATTATAGCCGAGACATCTACTAATTTACGGTACAATAACGTGCTTTTCGTACCTATTGGACGTTTCGTATATCACTATCTATTGTTCATTTCTTCTTACGTGGATATATATAGAATTTTGTACCAACTGGAGTTACTCGCGATCTTGTTCTCTCGGAAAAAATTCATATACTCTGATCTCCCCATTGTTTTTTTCTTCTATACAAATCTCATTAACATATTCTACTCTATCAATTAATCTTAGCGAGATACTCAGTAAATTATGACGTTTGTACAATTCTAAAGCAAACGTATCATTTGATAAGACGCAAATATAAATTTCTATAACGGATGTATCATTTCGTAAAATTATTTATGAATTATACAAGACGCTGAGTATCACGCTAAATACGAATTTGCAAACTACATCGCTATATTGGGGGGTTACCCAAATTCTAAGAAATTGAGACAAGTACAAATTCTCTTGGTTATTCTTCAGGCTTTCTGGAGAACTCACCAATTTAAGCACTGCTGCTTCTTTCAATATCCGGATAAAACTAAGCTATAATCATTAATGTGATACAACAGATGTAATGAGAACAATTTGGAAAAAAAAATAAACTATTCGCGAAACTTATAAATGCGATAATGTACAGCAAAGGGGAAAATTGATATTACGAAATCGAGCAACATGTAATAAAAATATTAATATAACATTGCAGAGACAGAAATTGCTTTGATGGAAATGAAAGATTTTTACAGTTATATACACTACTATCTACAAAAATTTCAATGTTTGGATGTTAACATACTCTCCGTATTACGCTTGTGTTGCAATAAATAGTTGATATAATTCTTTTATATAGGCAATTTTACATATGCTACTGTACAATATCGAGTGTAAAAAATCACTTATATCTTCATCGTTCCGGTTTCACTGAATACTCATCTATCGATGTAAAAAAAATCTACACAACATTAGACTCAAATATAATTTTTACAAAATATCCAATATTGAAAATACTTTGCCATAATGTATAATTTCAAAATAGCATTACCACATTATCATTTATAGAATTGTACAAATAGATTGAGATGATTAAATTCATTAATAAAATAATTATTTGCTTCACGTGTGCACACGAATATGCGCTCGTAAAGCATAGTAAATTAAAGCTGCTTATTATTACTCATTATGTTACATTTTACTCATAGGTCAAATTTGTCCATATCTTATATCTCTATTTAAATCGTAACACACTTGCTAAAATGTTAACAGAGCAAGACAGTTAAGAAACGTTGGAAAGACCGACCCTGTAAGACAGTATTGAATTTACGTTTTTGTTAATCCTCCAATATTATGCTATCAGTAGTAGAAGTCCGGTCTCCAAACCTTTTTTTTTTCTTTCATATACACACTTCAATTCTGATAGAATCATATCATTGGTAATAAAATAATTTTATAATATTAAGTCGATCGTATATCAAACTTAGAGACGTCATTTAAATCAACGTTTATTCTTTCTGAAGGCATTCAAAATAAAGTATGAAATAGTGTTTTCACCATAGGATCATAAATCAAACTGAATGAGATATACTATAGAACGAATATTAGATGAATTGTGGATAGACATAACACTTTGGAAGATTGACAATGTACACATCCTGTCCATTCAATTGTGGCTTTTACAAATTATATTTTTATATATCACAGAATGCATGTGGTAGATGTTCACTATTTATGTATATTGTAGAAAAGGAGTGTATATTGGAGATATTAAATTATATAATATAAATATATGAGTGTCCTTGAAACTTTTCATTATCTTTAGTGTCAGCTATCGGTAGAATACAAATTATACAATTAATATTACTAATAGTAATAAATAAATATTGTATGAGATATTTCATGTTGAATATTTCTTAAAGTAAACGCATTCAGATCATAGCTGCATTTCTTTTATGTCGTGGCAACAAGTAGATCAACAAGTAGTCAGTTATTGCATATTAATATCCTCTTGCAATACAATATGGAAAGTTACAAAACATTAAAATATTTCAGAAGAATCTTTTCAGCGCATATAAAATACACATATACTAGACATATCTGCATTATAATGCGCAATAAAAATAATTTAAACTGCTCATTAATTCATGTAAATATATGAGTGATATACATATAACTTATTAATATATTTAATTTGATATATTTCCTACTCAAGTTATTGTTTCCAGTTATAGAGACGATAAAATGAAGTTATTCCTTAATAGTTTAAGGAAACAACACTAATGTTCTTTTGAAACTTAAAGTAAGAATAGGATTGAAATGTCTTTAAGTTACACTTCCTGGTGATTAATATGAATCAAAAAATGATTACAGCAATAACATTTAGCAAATATCTAATATACAGATATTAAAACATTTCTTTTGGTTACTTTTCATATGCGTATCGAATAATTTTTTATTTAACATGCACCGTATGTATTATATGGATGGAATCGTAAACTGGTAACATTTTATAAAAATGGAAAATTCATTCATTGACGCCAGTAACGATTATCATGCTATTGCTTCGTGAATTTTACGATAATGATGAAATCAAACGAATCTTTATAACTGAAATAAATTTATATTGACAAGAGTTTTGTTTAACAAATTTCTCTCTGAATAAATAGTTTCAAAGATGATAAAGATTAAAATAATTTTGAAATAATAGAATAAAAGTAAAGAATTTTACGTAATCACAGTCGGTGCATCACGACCAATATGTTGACAAAGTTCACTTAATTCTAACGCGATATTAATGAGAGGCTTTAAAACCAGTTGTGCGTCTTTCACAAAAGTAGATGGATCATCCTCGTAACTATCGATATACATACGTATAGTAGCACCAGAACTTCCTGTTCCGGATAGACGGAATATTATACGAGAACCATCCTCAAACAATATCCGTAAACCCTACCATATAAAACAACATGACTAGTTTAAAAATATAAAACTATCATTACTAGTATAAAATGATAAAACATACCTGTTTCGTAGCTTTGCTACCATCAACAGGATCTATATAGAAATAATTGTCTGCTTGCTTAACAACATATTCTTTATTTTCGTACTGCAACTTTCTACCGATAAATTCTGGTTTTTGAATCAGAGCTTCGATGCCCTGCATCATTTTATCCGCGCTCACAGAGTCGCAGTTTTCATAATCATACCTGAAATCAGTAGACTCTTCAGAAATTTGAACAGACAAGAAGAATTAATACAATGGTCCTTAAATTTATTAATTTGTGATGCACTGTAAAAGATAACCATTTTGTGACGCCGTTTTTGTACAAAAATATATACTTTACAAACATTTTTCAGTAATATTATTTATTAGCTGTAAAGAACTATTATTCTAGAAGCAGCTCACATACACACACACACGCACCCACACATGCACATACACACATACCCGTACATCCACACACACACCATACCTACCAACCAATGTCATAGATGTAATAAAATTTTATATAAATTTATTTATCTTTTTAATATATGTTCATGATGTTCGTAGCACACCTAATCACTTTTTGTAATGTATTATTTGAAAATCGTTAATTAATGTTACACAACATGAATATGAGAACCAAAATAGCAGATTATTGATACATGCCTAGTAAAGAAATTTCTTCCATAAAGTTTCCAATGGTCCAATAAAATATTCTCAACAGACTTCCCAAGTCTTGCAATCACATTAAGCCATGCTAAGCACGCCCATATACCATCCTTTTCGCGAATATGATCAGAACCAGTACCAAAGCTTTCTTCTCCACATAGTGACAAATCTCCAACATCCATTAAGTTCCCTAAAATTTATATGAAAAAAAAAATTAATAATTTTTACACCAAACTGACTTTTATAATAAACTTATAATTTATAATTTTTATAATAAATTTATAACAATGCCAGAAAAAGATCTCATATACCAAAGTATTTCCATCCAGTAGGAACTTCAAAGAACTTCACATTATTCTTCGCGGCAACTCTGTCAATAGCTGCAGCTGTTGGCATAGACCTAGCATATCCTTTAATACCAATCTTTTGGAAGTACGGAATTAGTTTTAAATTAGCAGCTAACACTGCTAAAGAATCAGAAGGAGTAACAAAAAAGGCCTTTTCGCCCAAAATCTATAAAAATATGAGCCATATATTGATGTTAAAATAATATCTTATACAAACATGCTAATTTCTTATAATATTTTGCAACTGATATTGTTTACCATATTTCTATCTCCATCTCCATCAAATGCTGCACCAAATTCAAATGGTCCTTCCTTCATAGCAATTACTAAATCTTTGGCATAAGTTAAATTTGGATCAGGATGCAAACCACCAAAATCTTCTAATGGCTTTATATTTACTAAGTTTGTATCATCAATACCTAATTCATCACTAAATATTCGTTTTACATATGGCCCTGTAACTGGAAATTAAAAACAATTCATTATAATCTCTATTTATAATATTCCAAATTTTATTTTTTCATAAAAGCAAAAATGAAGTATAAATTATATAATATCTAACCTCCATTCATTGAATTGATGAGAACTTTAAATGCTGGTTTATTAGCATCACCTTGCAACAATTTTTTAATACTTGTGAAATCAAAGATTTCTTTCATGAGCTCCACATAATCATTTATAGAATCAATTATATCAATAGTAAATGGTTTACCATCAATCTCGATTGATATAGTTTGTATTTTATCAATATCTATACTAACATCAGAAATAGTTCTATAATGTTCGAGCGTTTTAGTAATCTCATATATTTTACTTGTCACACTGTCTGGTGCGGGGCCACCATTGTCACAATTAAATTTAATACCAAAATCAGCATCAGGGCCACCAGGATTATGCGATGCAGTTAAGACGATTCCGCCTTGTATTTTATACTTTCGTATTATAGTTGATACAGCTGGTGTTGAGAGAATACCATTCTGACCAACTATCAATTTTCTAACCTAGAAAAAGTGTAATTTTGTGATAATAATTATAAGAGAATTATAAAATTCGATTAAATTTTTTTTCATATAAAACTAGCAGTACTATTAATCGTTTAATATAAATCTTGAAAAAACTGTACTTTCTCAGCATAATATGTAACACTAGCAGAATTTCATATACTATATGCTATATATAGACAAATGCTTCCGGATATCACGTTTCAAGCTTGTTAAAATTATTTGGCACTTATTTGCCTTTAATATACTTTCATATCTTAGTCTCATAACCTCGGTATAAAATTGCCAATATCTATATCTGACTCAGATTGATCATTCATATCGTTCAATATAAACTATGCGATATTCCTGATAATAGTTTGTTGCAAATGAATCAAGTAATTGACCTACCCCATTTGCTGCGGCGATCCGAATGATTTTTGCCACCGCTTCTTTCCCGTAAAACCGTCCATCACCGCCGACAACGAGAGTACATCCAGGCAACTGGTCACCCAGAGCTTGCAGTATTGCCTGGATAAAATTTTCCGTATAGTGCTCCTGCTGAAAAACCTTCACAGCTTTTCGCAGGCCTGAAGTACCCGGCTTTTGATCCTCATACACTCGAGTGTTCACCGTAAAACTCGTCACTGTAGCGGACATATTTCTGTAATCGAAGGGAAACGTTACGATAAGAATGTAATACCTAACTCATGTATTTCGACTGACAGACAAATAAGCTAAAAGGAGATCGTGCTCTCGCAATAGTTATCCGATAACTGTTGCTGGCGAGCTGAACTTTGCCTGTCAATGACACGTAAGGACACAGTCGCCGGCCCATCGCCATCTTTTCTAGATCGCGCGCGCGCTCTCGCGACAGTTGCGCGCACGTGTACTTCGTCAAATCTCTTTAGCCACTCTTTAAAAAGAATGCACGATGTTAAACCCCTCTGCACTCTAAACGAACATACCTACGAAGTAACAAATCTGTCTTGATATATATGGTGTGCCCGAAAAAATAAAATCGAAAATAAATGTACACAGATAATGCAATTAAGAGAAAAAGAAAGAAACTATTGGGAAACTCTTACCTTAATATTTACTTAATATTTAAACAATGAATAGGAAATATTTTGCAGTTTTCGGAAAGTAATGGTAGAAAAATTTAAGACAAGTAGTTAACAGTATTAATAGGCAACAGTATTTAAATCAAGCTTAACACATATATCAAATATATTTGTTAAATACGTCGTTTCTACTCAAAATCTATAGTATACATAACTGTAGAATTAAAATAATTAAAATAATTAATAAATAACTAAAATTTAAAATAACTAAATTGAGCCTGCACGCGATATTAATGTGAAATAATAATGATACAAAATTTAATAAAAACCTGTCTAGTATATAAAACAAACGTTTCAACCCTGTATTTGGCACTCATCAGTGATTAAGAATATGTTATTATGCTGACCAACTCATTGCCATCTCTGCTATCTTTTAAACTTGTTGAAAATAAATCGATTCACATCCTTGGTAACGCACTGCACTTCCTCAAACCATGAAGTCAAAGTGGATAAATAATGAGTCAATTCCATATAATTGCTTTTCTGGATCTGTATACCACCTAACTCTCTTGATACGTGAAAGGGTATCAGGAAATGCAATGAAAACTCACTTGTACTCTTCATGTGACAATTTTTAATGATGTTAAGCCAAAACATTTCAAATTGAACGTGACACATATATGAAGCAAGATTTTCATACTTGACATATAATTTAATATAATGCAAACAGAAATCTTACATGTTTGTATGACATGTAGGAAATACAAACATCGTCAGTGTACAAAATTCACATCCCAGCAAATACAATGTAACATATAACATATTTGTTAGCTGTAATTTTCTACTCAATAATGCAACTGTTATACAAGGTGTCCCACTTTAAATGAGCCAAGCAAAAATCTCGAAAAATATGAAAGATACTAAGAAACATTTCAGACAAAAGCTGCATAGTTTCAAAGGGGATATAAAACAACTACATAATTTTGTTCACAGATGGCACCATTTTCGAGATTTTCACTGATCACTTTTCTTAAATAGAAACCCAAATTTTTTATTGTATCATCTTTTTCTACCAATTAATTTTAATATCTTTTATCCGCAACATTTTGTTATTTGCCTAATATTTCTTGAGATATTTAAGGAAAGCTTGATAACATTTTCAATATTTAACTTACGATATCTCGCTAACTATTCGTCGGAAGAAGAAGTAATATTAAATTTTTTTACTCTATTTGGTCTCAGAAGAATATAATGTTACAATAGTGCCTTGACTTTTGTTAATTTGATGATTTTGAAATCTCCAAAAATCGATAAGTTAACAAAAGTCAAAGCGCTATTATAACAATATATTCTTCAAACCAAATAGAGTAAAAAAGTCTAGTACTATTTTTTCTTCCGACAAATAGTTAGCGAGATATCGTAAATTAAATATTAAAAAAGTTACTAAGTTTTCTTTAAAAATATTAGGCAAATAAAAAATGTTTCAGACAAAAGTTGTTAAAATTAATTGATAAAAAAAGATGACATAATAAAATTTGGGATTTCCATTTAAGAAAATTGATGATCAGTGAATATCTCGAAATTGGTGCCATTTGTAAATAAAATGATATAGTTGTTTTATGTTCCCTCTAGAACCATACAACTTTTATCTGAAACATTTCTTAATATCTTTCATATTTTTCGAGATTTTTGCTTGACTTATTTAAAATAGGACACTATAAAATATAACTGTTATATAATATAATCTTATATAATACAACAGTTGCACTGTTAAGTAGAAAACTACAACAGATATGTTACATGTTACATTTGTTTGTTTGTATTTACACCGGGATGTTTATACATGAAAGATATCTAAGGACATTGAAGACAGTAAGACTCATTTAATAACAAAGTGTCTGTCTGCAAATTAATGCCGTTTATTGACTGTTTTATATGTAACTGTTTTATATGTCTGAAATCATGTTTTTTCTATGCTATAATTTTCTTATGCTATAATATGACATACAGTCTAAAATTTCGGAGTTGTATCGTGATCAAAGTCATGTTCATTGTTCATCCACCATCGGTGGGTTTCCGTATAATTAATTCTTTTATATTCCCGTATTATATTCAGGTCTGTAACAATCTACAATCTAGTTTTATCCGCATAACATGCGTCACATTGTTTGCAATATAAACGGTGGATCATACTTCTGTGCACAAGTAAACTTTTCAGCATTGGCAGAATATAGAAACGCAGCCTTAATCTCTAAGTACTACGTCACAGAACAGCATTGCTTTAAATTAAGATAGCAGCATATAGGGTGTCGCAAATACATTGTATGCACTTATTAGATAATATAAAATTTTTATATTCGTTTATAATAAAAATAGTTTTGCTGCCTTAAAGTATCTCAAATACCAACCATTCTTGCAGAAAAAACATAAATACAGATAACTGAAAACGAATGTAAATAAAGAGTCGCATGATCACATCATGAGAAAAAAGAAAGACTTTTGAAATAAATGTAGCGCACGCAATGCGAACATTTCGGACATTTATATTAATGGAATCACTCCAGTAATTTATGAATTAGTCGAGCATCAAATGAGCATCAAATGATCGATTATATCTTACCTTTCTGTCTACAATAAACACCAATGAACACATATCTCGGACTCTAAGATCGAAATGAAGAAAATGAAGCGATCAGAAGTGATCAGACGCGTATGATTGTAGCGGAAAACAAACGATACTCGCAAATTAGTCTGAGTCGTACTCAACGTCGGTTTATTATCTTACTGCACGCGTTTTATGATCAATTACAAAGCGTCGGTACTGTCGGAGAAAGCAGGAGGAAAAAAAGAATCCGTCAAAGAATCGCGTCGCGAACGCAATCGTTTTCCCTGATCGATGTCGCGATCAGCGCGTTTCAAAGTCGCTAGTACGCGTACGAGCAGACGCTCGATGAAAAATGCGCGTGGAGGGAGCGTGTTGCGTCAAGGATAACTGATATAAAGTTCACGAGTTTATAAAACGGAGATGAACTTACTTCAAAAGCCAGTTTTCCGAGCGACCACGCGGCCAGACACGCGATGTTGCCGAAATAAAGTGTCCGTTCAAATGCTTCTCAAAAGCCATTATCGTCCGCCGTTTATCTCACAGTGAAAGCATATGGAGAAATCGGTCGTTTAACTATATATATATATATATATCTATAACGAAAAGAGTCGGATCGGAAATTTTTCAACATACGTCAGTTCAACGGCGGCTCACTGATATCGGATGTTATACTTTTGTCACGCGTAACTTCCCCCGTATTTTTTTCGATGTTCCGTAAGTAGATATTTCTAAATTTAATAAGTGTGCAGTACGTATCTTGATAAAAATGGGTATACACATTATAAGAAAGGGGGAGTACAATTGAAATACTCAAATATTGGATTATAAGAGAAATAATTGCAGCTTACTGGCTCCGTACGCATCTCTTACGAAACGAAACATTTGATATTTTCGTTCAAAAATGATGACGCATGACGTGAAAGAGGATCTCGTCGTATATGATAACATATTAACACGACGTAGGTTATTTAACGGCGACCTTGTTTAACTACCGTCATCGGTGAGCATACATTTTTATATTTTGTATTATATGCATCTTCAATATTTTCGCAAAACTGTACCGACGCACAGGGTGCAAATTTAACAAAAAAAAAAAAATTATTTTATTACAGAAACTTTAATCGGTTCCGTCAAAAATATATTATGTATAAATCTCATATTTACCGGAGCAGCGAAACGCCGCCACCAGACAGCGAATCCGAAAACGCGCCGTTGCTCTCGTCGGAGTCTCACACGAGCCTAGAGCCAGCGGTGTTGTTTGGTGATTCCGAAACAAGCGACTTTGATCCGAGCCCGACAGGCTGCTCGTTCAAGTACAGTATTTATAAAATGGATCTATCCGCGAATTTCCTATATTTACAATCAATCGTAAAACTCTATATGTACCTTATACATGTTGTACGAATACATATAAATTTTCACGACTAGATGTACATGTTGGTTTATAGGCAAAAATCACTCTGGACGAAAATATCACGTGCAAAACATTCGTTGAAGTACAGAAGTGTTCTTGAAATATAAATCTACTTCCAAAATTTGTCCCTCACGTCACGATGATTTCTATTCAACCGATCATACTCGCGATAATTGCATTCTCAAATCTTCTTTCTTGTATTAATAGTGATATTTTTTATCTTATTGTATGGTTATGAAATTTACCTAATAACAATAACAATTCTAACTTCCAACAAAAAATTGTAAAAAATTATATACGCTTATTTGTACGTCATATGCGTAACTTTTGCTCTGATCGGAAAATTCTCCTGAGTTCGAAAAAATGAAACCTGAAAATTTGAAGAAATTTTCTGATCAACATTATTGTATCAACATAAACTCAATATTGTTTAAAGAAAAATACGGAGTGCCCGCCGTAACATACGATGAAGCTCATGTGCGGATAGGAGGGGTCAAGATAGAAAAGAATAGAAAAGTCATGTTCTACTTTTAGAAAAATCACGTAAAATTAACGAGTTGTTCATGGAACAAGATTGACAAATTGCGTTGAAGAGGAAAGGAACGAAGTTTCAATATAATACTAATTCAGTTAAAAAGAACAGTATTGATTGCTGTTAGGAAACGATCGCGCAGTCAGCCATTTTCTGTGCTGTCTCACTATATCGTGTGCGCTGATTCGTCAATCTTCTTTCATTAATAATTCGAAATTTTACATGGTTGTTTAAAAAATATATATGAAAAGACTTCTTTTATTCATTTTGACCCGGTCTATCTGCACGCAAACTTTATCATATGTTGTAACGGACATTCTGTATATACCTGTTTTCCAAACGTTTGAGCCTTTTACTTTTTTCTCGACATATCTGATACGCAATAAGAAAACCTATCCTCTGAGCATCATTCAAAAATAAATACTTTTATTGGGAGTTCCAAAGTGCGTCAAAAAAAAGTATTCGAACCATATTCTGCGAAGGAATATTTATTGTACATTCAGTTTTAAAGCAATTTCAACATCACTTTTGGATGTAATTCGGAACACAATCGATGATTCAATGAAAAAACTTATTTTTGAAAAAATAAAATAAAAATAAAGTTCTCTCATTGGGTATGTGCTATGCTCCAAATTGCGTTAAAAGTATTCAAACTATTTTGACACCCAGTATACATATCTGTCATTAACATTACTATTGTATCTTTTATTTCGTTAGGTATGGGAGCGTTGATGCTGCTAGTAATAGTACAATTTTAACAGCGATACCGAAAAAGCCACTACCTTCGAATAATAAATTATTCGTTTGTGCAGCAGAAGATCTGTTGTGCAATCTTAGCCGTGAGAACAATTACGATAGATACAACATCGATCTGGTAAGAGAACAATACAAGAGTATAGTACGTAACAAGATACAAATAGCCATTAATTTTGATTGAATCGATTGATGACAACTAGATCGACGATGAACGCTAACATAGCAATGCTATTTGCGCATAACGTTTTCGTTTTCAGGTATTAGTGGATGAAAAGCCCGACGTGAACGATTACATACTCGGAGGAGATCTCAAAACTGGTTCGCTGCAGTTTCAATCTAACATCGTACCGGCATCACGCAAAGATCTCAGGCCAAAACAGAGCTCGTTGGTCACAATGTGAGTAACTTTATGGTACGAGAAGCTGACGCGGTGTTGGCTATATTTCTGAAATAACATCGCTTTATGCGAAGATCTCCGATACCGCATTGATAATCAGTCTAACGTCATTGAAATCATTGATATACTTTCATCCGTAGTAAGTAGTGTCCTCGATTACGGATAAACTCTCAAAGATTAAGATTATGCAATTTATTTTCCCGCTCGTCTCTCTCCACATGAATTTGTTAGAGAGAACAGAAAACATCATGACGCAGTATGATTCAATATCTCGGGACTCCGACTAAAATATATTAACGTATACAAAATATTAAAGTATCCGGCAAAAGTTTTGACGCGCGGATAGATTGTATACAGAGTGTCCCATTTTAAAGGATCCTCACTCAAATATCTCAGAAACACTGCGTTAAATCGAAAAATGTTTCAAACAAAAGTTGTATGGTTTCGAGGGGGATATAAAACTATATTATTTTGTTTACAGATGGCGCCACTTTCAAGATATTCACTGATCATTACTTTTCTTAAATGGAAACCCCAATTTTTTATTATATCATCTTTCTCTACCAATTAATTTTAACAACTTTTGTCTGAAACATTTTTTTATTTGCCTAATATATTTTGAGATATTCAAGGAAAACTTGGTAACTTTTTCAATATTTATCTTACGATATCTCGCTAACTATTTGTCGGAAAAATTAATTTTTTTTACTCCATTTAATCTCAAGAATATATTATTACAATAGCACCCTGACTTTTGTTAATTTGATAATTTTGAAATTTTCAAAGGTCGATAAGTAAAATGATATAGTTGTTTTATGTCACCCTTGAAACCATACAATTTTTGTCTGAAACATTTTTTTTATTTACCGCAGTGTTTCTGAGATATTTGAGTGGATCCTTTAAAATGGGACACCCTGTATATATACGTATGTGAGTTAGGTAACTTTATTAAAAATTATTTATTTTCTCATCCTATTAACTAATCACCATTATTTTCTATTATCTTTAATACATTGGTTAGTGTAAAAGTTTTAATGGATTTTTCAAAGATGTGACTAATCTAATTTTATGGCAACACTTACAAATATAAATATATAAATATATTGTATGCAAAGTATGACTTTTCTAACGATATTACACACACACACACACACTTTGTCTACTAACCATTAAATTATTCACAGTATCGTTATCAATAGTTAGAAACTGTCCAGATCGTTGCTCATCTTTCAGATTAAAATTATCACATCGAAATTTTGAAAACCATTTTTTATCTTATGAATGACGCATGATTCTGATAAACTTGCTTAATGTTTCTTACTGTAGTTCTAACTTTTACATCTTTTCTAAATTCATAAAACATGATATGCCAAGAGAGAAAGAGAATGAACTTCTTTTTAGTTATACAGGGTGATCCGAAATTCCCGCATTCGGAGTACAGGACATGATACTTTATGCTAAAATAAATAACTTTTTCCTTTAGCAAAATTGTATCCGACAAGTAGTTGTTGTAAAAGAACGTGTTAAAGTTAACGAATAAGTGTTCTTGCCTATGTGGCGCTCAGGGCCGGCACACGTGCCTCACTCGCGTGTACCTAATCAGTGACTAATATTCATAAGTAATGCATTTTAAGACGCTCATACGGCTCTGTTGTGATTAGTTTACGACATCTTAAAACTGTATTTAAGACAATCTTAAATAATAAGAATCAACTATGAACAATAGCGGGATTTGACCTTCTTCCATATTGTATTGCTTAAGTAATGAAAAGTTAATAAAATAAGTACTGCCTTTATTTCTTACGTAATAAATAAATAAAAAATTATCTGAGTGTACAATATCATCTGAAAATAAAAACAAATGTAAATAGTAATATACTTTGCGAATTGTGAAATCCCGGTATTGTTTATAGTTAATTTTTATTATTTAAAATTGTCTCAAGTACAATCTTAAGATGTCGTCAACTAATCACAACAGAGCCGTATAAGCGTCTTAAAAGATATTATTTATGAATACTAGAATATTCACTGACTAGATACACGCGAGTGAGGCGCGTGAGCCGGCTCTGAGCGCTACATATATCATATAAGAGCACTTATTCGTTAACTTTAACACGTTCTTCTGCAAAAACTACTTACAGGACATAAAATATTATGTCCTGTACTCCGAATGCGGGAATTTCGGATCACCCTGTATATCCGATAATTTTTCTCACCAAAGAAATGCGATCAAAGCAAACCAATTCCATGTTTATATGACAGCTGAGAATATCACTTTTCCAGTAATATTATGATATCTAAATTTTACTGAACAATATGGCATTACCAATAATGACGTCTATTAAAATTGGGTGCGAACTTTAGCACTCATCCAGTACAATATATTTCTTAAATCTATTGTCCAATATTTTAGAAGTTGATTTTTAAAATCATCTTATGAAGAAAAATTTATACATATATATGTCAAAAACTTCGTTTTAGAGATATAAATTGTTAAAAACCCTATAAAATTTTTCTTTGTAATGCACGAAAGAGATTATTTTTTCAAATTCAAACCAGTGAATAGGTAGGGTATCACCTTTGTTTTTTATTTATTTCAATGTTTATTTTTTTATTTAAACTCAATGGCATAAAAACAGGATTCAGGTAGTACATTAAAACCCCGAATTTTAATGATAATAGACGAAATCGAAGTTCTTTTTTTTTATATTTTTATTTCATTAATTATAGCTGCAAAAAGTATCGTTGATAAATTTTAATAGAGTTCTCAGTTTAGAAGATATTTGCGTTTCGATATTTTAAATTCCGTCTTTACACAAAATATCAGCAACTTCTGAAACAGCGCCAATGCTTCAGAGTTTAGAGACCATTACGACTTCGTCATATCAAGTACGTTCGTAAATGTACGCTAAGAAGAAAGAAATGTACAAGTAGAAATAGAATTAATGTGAGACGTTATCAATGGTAAACTATAATGTTTATCTCATGTCATTTATCATATTTTCTCATATACACGTCCCGTTCAACAGTCGTATCTTCATAAATCTTTTTTTTATGCGTTATGACGTAGTCATTTATCTCCCTTAGATGGCTGATGGTAGCGAACTCCAAACTTGCATCAGCGCATCTTCAATTCTTTTTATATCGCTAGCGGTACAATACGTGATAGTAGAAATTATATGGTGCATACACACATTACGCTATATTACAAATGTCATCGCGGTCAAGCAATCTCGCGTTCCAAAAAGCAATTGTTAATAATTCGTGATTTGTCGGTAATAAATACTGCGTGTGTGCATACACGGTAAAGTTTATTCGTGCAAAACAAGAAATTAGCTCGTACAACTGATAATTTGCTAATCGTACGAAAACACAGCACAAGATTCGGAAATAACAATCTCTTTTTTGGCTTTGTGTCGCAAAGAGTGACTTCTTTTTGGAAAATAATGAAAGAAATATTTGTTTTAGTGTCACAGAAGCAGAGACAAGTTTCTCAAATTAATCAATATCTTGTTTTTCATACAAAAAAATGATTGTCACTTATTACAAATAGCGAATTAATTTACGATAGTCATTATTTGCAACAAACGAATTGATGATTTGTAATTGGCAAAGCTGCCTAAATTCTAATCAATTCGAGCTTCATCGCACAGTGATGCGCGCGCGCACTCACCCGACACATATTCGTTATTAATCTACATGTGACTAAATAACCTAAATATGTCTCCTTAGGCACTCACAAACGCAGACGTTTCTACAGTTGAGCCTATTTGCAGATCGCGTCATTTAGGACAGAACTCACCCTTTGCGTGAACGTCGTTCCTGCTGTGAACTCGTGGGCCTCCTCGTGAATAAGGATTCATGTGTCCTCGTAGTTGTCGAGCTTTCCGAGCAACGAAACGACTAATCGGGAACGACTAATCGCTAACTTTCGTTCCCGCGTCTGAAAGACGAGCGTCGGGACAGTCGTGTCGCGTGGTCCGACTTTCGCTGGCGATTCTCGGAATCCTCCGCTCGTTGCCATACATCATGTCAGAATACTCAGAGTAGGTTTCTCCTCTTTCTGACTGACACCGACCGAAGACGCGGCACGGCAACACGGCTCTCGTTTTCAAGACGCGGGAATACAAAGAGAGGAACTATTAACTGTTAGCGCGCGCTGCTAGCGTCCACAAGCGCCGACGTCGTCTCCTCGCATCAGGTCGGACGACGGTCGGAACGCGCGCGCGGCGCGACGTCCGAAGCGTCTGGAGCGCGGCGCGACGGGACGCCCAAAGGGGTTACCGCACCGTCTGTTGCCCGGGCAACAGACGACCGGCCTCGAAGGTGAATGCCCTTAGCCAGTAACCCACCGCGCCAGGTCTTCTCTACTGGGTGTACATACCGACCGTACATCCACTTTAGGTTCGGAGGTCACGAACCTCTCTTCCTCCCCCTCTTACCTTTCCTACCATAATATTCGATATCGAATAGATGTGTTTGTAACTTTTTTTTTAATTGAAATGATACTTGAATTATATAATTCTACCTACGAAACCAAATAGACATCGTACATACCATATATTTTATATAATTATATACTTATATATATAAACAATATCATATCCCAGTAAGCACGATATTACATGTAACGTGCATATTAGTTGTAATTTTCTACTCAACAATATAACTGTTATATAACACATGTGTTATAACACATATGTTATGTAACAGTTATAACACATGTGTTATATAACAGTTATATCGTTGAGTAGAAAATTACAACTAACATGCACGTTACATGTAATATTGTGTTTGCTGGGATATTTTCAAAGAAATTGATAATATAAACTTACAAACACTTATAGATTTTCAATATGGAACACGATACTTGGTTCGTCATTGTTGACGATGCCGTGGGGAATCGCAATGGCTGGATTCTTTCCTGGAATCATCATTATTCTAATGATGAGCGGCTTATGCCTGTACACTGCTTATCGTCTTATAGCCGTGTACAAGTATCATGGTAAGAGAAATTTCCTCCTGTGTGACAAATCGATATTTGCAATACATCATATTGGAAGATTAATTATAATTATGTTCACAAAGGTGGCGGAGAAAATATAGAAGTTGTAGACTTGAGTCGAATATATCTTAACAAATGGGCGGAATATATTGCCAAGATCTTTAGTATTGCTGTACTGATGGGCGCGACTATAGCTTATTGGATATTAATGGCTAATTTTCTATATAATAGTGTTAATTTTATTTATGGTAAGATTTCTTATCCTTAAGATAATAATAAAAACATAAACAAAAACAAATGGTAAGATATATTGTTTACAGATAACATAGCTGGTTGGTCAACATATTCTGTACCTGAGAATATTTCACATATAGAAGGTATATGTAACATAATTTTCACATATATATATAGATAAATTTCACTTAAAAATATTTTTGATATATTGATATATATCTAAATTTATCGATTTAATTACAGTTTTATGCCCGAAGAAAGAGCTCCATGGTGATAATGACACTATTACAATCCATGAAAAATCATTTGATACACTAGGACCAGCGTGGGACCTACACGCGACAGTGCCTGTATTTTTAGGATTACTGATATTTCCTTTACTGAATTTTAATAGTACGACATTTTTTACAAAATTTAATTCTCTCGGTGAGTATATAATATTAGTACTATTTGTATATATTTATTTCTTATGTTTTCTTAAGTTTTCTTAACAAAACCTAATTTTAATTCAAACCTGCAAATTACATCAACTTCTCAATATATTTCGCAGGAACAGTATCAGTTATATATTTGGTCGTTTTTGTTATGATAAAATCCACATCTTGGGGTATAAATATGAATGGAATAGAATGGAAAACAAGTTGGATAATACGGCCTACATTTCCAGTCCTTACAGGGATGTTGTCGCTATCGTTCTTCATCCATAATATTATAATCAGTATAATAAAAAATAATCACAATCAAGAAAAGAATGTAAGTTATATTTATATTCCATTTTCTTATTGTGAATATACATGCAGATTAAATAGAAATGGTTCTATTTTTAGGGAAGAGATTTAACTATAGCATATATTCTTGTCACAGTAACATATATTATAATAGGATTGATGTTTTACATATGCTTCCCTCTACCTAAATCATGCATTGAAGATGTAAGTATGATTGTAGAATTTACACATACATATATCATATCACAGTATAGTATAAAAACTGTTAAGCTTACAAAACTTAAGTTTGTTTTATATTTTGCAGAATTTATTAAATAATTTTCAAAAATGGGATGGCCTTACTATAGGTGTTCGTATAGTACTACTTTTCCAGTTATTGACTGTTTATCCTTTACTAGCATATATGTTACGTATCCAATTACTCTCATCAATATGTAAAACAGTATGTAATAGGAGTTTAGTGCTTGTTGTTAATCTCATATTAGTTTCCATATGTATTTTGTTTGCAATGTTTATGCCATATATTGGAACTATCACTCGATATACTGGCGCTTTAAGTGGATTAATTTATGTTTTTACCTTACCAAGTTTACTGCATTTATCAATCTTGAAGAGACAAGGAAAATTAACTATATGCTCTGTATTAATCCACTTAAGTATACCTGTTATTGGAATTTTAAATCTTGTTCTCCAATTTTTTATTACAGATAAATGATCAAATAATTAAGTTATGATAGATTATATAACATGCATATACATTCATAATTTTTTTATATAATGTTAATTATATCTTAATACATATATTTATAGTTCCAGAACTTTCTTAAAAATAACTTTGAACAAAGCAAAGAACATCAGGTGCAAATTTAAGAAAGCATATAATCAAAGTTTGCAACACTTTTTTTCAATATATTTTGTATTGTACTTTCTATGTAATTTTTTATTAATCTTTAAGATATCTATTTTTCTATTAAATATAAAAAGCATCACAAAAAAGTACACTACTATAAGCGTCATAAAAAGTGTTGTAACTTTTAATCAATCTGTACATAATATTATGTATAAAAATAAACTTATATATATATATATATAAAGGATAGTAAATAATTTATTTAATAATAAAAATATTAAAAAAAAATGTAAATTTGTATTTTTTTTATGATTAACACAAAGGTTCTGAATATTCTATATGATGTTATATTTTAATAAATATATCATATTAAATATACTTCACAATTAATGTTATATCTTCTATCCTGTTAATATTATATTCCCTAATAATTCAAGTTGAAAATATATATGTTACCTCAAAGTTGTTTCTGAGATATACTGTAAACCCAAACAGTATCAACTCCATGTCCAATTGTCATAAAAGGATGTGTATTAGGAAGAGGAAATCTACATGCAATTACAAAGGAATCCTTGCACAATTCACTATTAAACTTTCTTTCAAGATCTTCCATCTGTAAAAGTATTATAACCTTTTGACATCTATTATAGAAATTGGAAGAATTATAATAAATATTTAAAAATATATTCTATGTACCATTTGCTCAACACCAAATATAATAATGTTGTCATATTTCTTCAAATTATATTTCCATAGATCCTGTTTAAAAAAAGCAGTATTCTGTGACAAACCATTTATCAATGCTTTAAATCTTGAATACCATACTAGCCAGGTATTTAATTCAATGCCATGAGCTTTAAAGCCAAGCTTTGCTGTGGCAAAAACCTATTTACAAATTAAAATTATTTTCTCAACCATATTAATAATAAGTTATACAAGCATTTTTATGTTCCAAATAACTGCCATTTTTAAATTATACTTACAATACGTCCATCTCCACTACCAAGATCAATTAAAGTACCAGAACGGCCATTTAACGCTTGAATAACATTTTTTATCTGTTGATTTGTAGCTGGTACATATGGTAAACATATCTTCCGAAATGCAGGACTTATAAATGGAAAACATATAATACTAATTGCAGTTGCAATTCCACCTAATAGTGGGCATAATATATATAGAATACAAATTAATACAAAATTATTGACACAAAATAACAAACCTGTAGCTGCAATTAAAAATAAACCAATTCTTGATGATGATTTTTGTGATGCATTAACATTATTTTTGTTAACAGAGAAGTATTCCATCTCAATAACGTATCATTTAACCGTACATAAATTCTTATATTATAAAATAAATGTACATGAAAGATTTTATATTTTATGTGAATCGTCTATATGTGTAATTTTGCTTTTATAGATGAACTCCACGCGCATAACGCTACATCAAAATTTGAATCTAACCTGATCTGTGTAATGTATGATCGTATAGGTTAGATTATATTATCTCTGAAAACACGCGAAACATTTTACACGAAAACACTTCCATCTGAGTAATACAATACATAAGACATTTTTATTCTGATCTATTTTATTATAAAATTATATTAGACGTATATATGTTTATCTATATAATTTTGCCTTAAAGTGACTGAAAATTTTTCGAATACTCGTCGAAATATGGCAAAGCTTAATGCAAAAATCGGTCCGTCGATCTTAAACGCCGACTTAGCACAGCTTTATGAAGAATCACAAAAATTGTTGGACAATGGCGCAGATTATCTACATTTGGACGTGATGGATGGTCACTTTGTTCCTAATCTTACGTTTGGTCATCCCATTGTAAAATGTCTTCGTAATAAAATAAAAGATGCTTTCTTCGAGACACATATGATGGTATCTGATCCGGAAAAAGTAGGTGGCAAAAATGTTTACATATAAGATATTTAATTAAAACTATATATTAAAATAAATTTATATATCATTGCATAAATAATTACAGTGGATTGTACCTATGGCTGATGCAGGAGTAAATCAATATACATTTCATGTTGAGCCAGTAAAAGATGTTTTTCTAGTCTGTAGAAAAATAAAAGAAGCAGGAATGAAGGCATATAATATTGATTAAAACTTAATGTTTCAACTAATTTTAACTCATATTAATTGATTTCTATAAAAGTAGGTTGGTGTGGCACTCAAACCAGGAACACCTGTGGATGTTGTATGCGATTATGTAAACTTGGCTGATATGATCTTAGTGATGACTGTGGAACCTGGCTTCGGTGGTCAGAAATTTATAGAATCAATGTTACAGAAAGTATCATGGTTGAGAAAAAATTACCCTTTGTTAGACATTGAGGTCGATGGTGGAGTTGGACTTACTACAATTGAATCTTGTGCAAAGGTATATGTTAATTTATTAAAATTACAATAATCTATAAATAATTTCACTAAACAATCTGGCTTAAATATGTATATATTAAAATTACTTGATCATACATCTATTATATTATTTTTAGGCTGGTGCTAATATGATTGTATCTGGTACAGCTATTATAGGTTCTACTGATCAGGCTAAAGTGATTACCACCTTAAAAAATACTGTCAATTGTTATTTGAAACAATGAACATTCAAAATAGTGATAAGTGAAAATAATGTGAAAACAAACATTTTTAAGAAAATACTTTATATTTTTATAGAAATGTATATGTACAAAAATCCATATTTTTTTATATAATTAAGTTATAATTAATATGGTATAATCTAATGGTTATAATTAATAGAGTAAGATTTAACAGTTACAATTACTATGGCAAGATCTAACATAATTTTAGAGATAAAATACAATATGTATCTATTTATCTCGACTATTATTTATTTCTTTAGCTAGTAATTTTTTTTGATACCAATTTAGTCCTTAGTTCAGCTAAAGTTATAAGGACTGCTTCTTCTGTTCTGATTGTTTGTGATCCTTGTTGAGGGCATGTGTTCAAATATTTGTGAAACATCAACGATGGGTCATCAATGTCCAAATATGGATCCACATCAACTATTGCTTCTAATCCAGCAAGACCTCCAAATACTATAAGGCAATGATGATACTCTAGACTCTTTGCTTCTATTTTGTCAATTAGTGTTCCCTTGTCAGATGTCCCAATTATCAAATCATATCCATCTTTGCACTGACAATTTGTTATTACTTCTGTTAGATTTTTAGCTAACTTGACAGTGTATCCCCAGTATGTACCAGTTTCTGCACGTGGTACATTGGGTGGTACTACGATACCATTCAATTTTTTAGAGTTTGGTTGATTGGGTGGTATTTTTACAGTCACTCTCAATCCAGGTATTAGCACCTTATCAACATGAACATCATTCACAAGTCCGACATTTACCTGAGAACCTTTGCCTACTTTTATAGGTTTATTTGTAACTATCCCTTCACGGTACAGAGAAATGTCATCTTGTTTCAAATGATGCGGTGCATTTAAAGGATTTAAAACACCTGCATATTGTAGATCTTTGTGAATTGGGAAGAAATATTTTCTCAGATATTGCGGACATTCCATATACTGCAATATTCTGGCTAATTGGAGACATCCAATTCTGGCCTCGCCGAGCACATCATCCTTCCTAATCTTCCTCTTTTCATCTTCTGTGACATCGCCCTTGTCATCAAATACTATGATCTCATCTACATTATAAATGCATGCAGCACGCGCGATCTGCCCTGCTAAATACGTCCGCAACTCCGGAGACTGTGCATTGTCAAGAATAGATCCAGGTACCGCTATACTCACTGTGCAGATATCCGGACGTTCATACTTTGCATCTTCCACGTACTCCTTCGTTTCGTTCAATTCTTTCTCTAGTTCCATTTTTCTAGCTTTCTTTATTATCTTCTCTTCTTTCCATTGTTTTCGCAATTCTTTCTTTTTCCGATTGTATTCCTTCCAATCTTTGGGTTTTGAGACGGACATTTATTCTTCCCCGAAAATTATCTAGTATCAACAAATAGACACTAATAATTCCTAAAATATTTTATTCGTAAAGATATTTCTTTGTATTGCAGCTCCTATAAGAGAAAAGAGTTTAAAAGCAGTTACCGGTGTTTTGGCCCACACCAATTTTCACAGCTGTTTAATGCGCCATCTGCGCGCATTTTAAAGCTGGAACCAGAGAGGAACGTGAGAGCGGCCAACACAGTGTTTTCGACGACACCGATTTTTCGCACTGGAAAAAGCCGCCATCTGCATCCATTTTTAGAGGGGAACTACGAGGCTACATCCACATTCAGGTTTCGGCGGTAAAACCTGTATGTGGTGGCAGTCCGTGCTACATCCATTTTTAGGCGGTTTATGTCCGTGCTAAAACCATAATAGCATATTTGACAAGCACGGTCTCGCACATTGTTACGCGTTTATAACATGAATTAACATGTTAACATGTGCAAAACAAAAAAAGAATTGACATTGTGTATGATTAATATCATGAAGATCATACGAAGTGTCCGGTAATTAGCTGCCAACTCGAAGTGTGAGGGTAGATTGGGTTGAGACAAACATAAAAGTCCCATACCATTTTACGAGATTCGCAATAATTATCGAGTTATTAATGACAGAAATCTGAGGAGTAAAAATGCGCCGACATAGATAATTCGAAAAGCGTTGCAGCTGCTCGGGGCAGCGATCATGAATCTTTTCCCTAACGTGAACTAATAAAAAGTGAAAGACTTCTGTGAATCAGTGAAAAATGAAAAATTTTATATGAATTTGTGAAAATCGAAATATTTCACACGACAATTGAGTTATTCAACATGGCAGTTGCGCGTTTTGGACAATGAATACCAAAGAAATCAAAATGATCAAAATAATAATGTCCGTGTAGTCCGAAGGATATTACGTGACACACAAAATCCGTTTGATATAATATCCAAAGAAAATGTTTCAAAATATGTACGTACAGGTAATATAAACCTTATGTACCGACGAGATATACTACAAAGACTGATGACCTTACGGGATTTAGCGTACCAGAGAAATTTCCCTGGTGAGGCACTCGGGTGAAAGAGACCGTCTCGCATTTAGCGTAATAAAATTTAATAGAAACTAATACTTTTCAATCCTTTTCTTCGGATCAAAAAGATTCAGAAATCAGACATATTCAAAATGTCAATACTTTTTAATACGTTTCAATTCGACATTTTATACAGAAAAGTAGGACGAAGGGAATGGGATGGGCAACGATACATCATGCGTCCCCAGATGTGTCAAATCGTTTATTATAGAGGAGACTTTGATAGGGCAACATGTATTCGAATATTTAATCGTCCCATGGACCACTTATATATAATAAAAAAAAAATTAACGCGGATAAATGAACGATTCGTATCAATTTTTCCTTTTCTTATAGAGCAATGAAAGAGTAAATCAGTATCGAAAATCGAATACCGATTAATACCATAAATCAGTGTCAGAAAATTGTCCAATGACAATTTTTCTCATTTTTCAGGTAGTTACCCCTCTAATCTCATTCAACAAATTAACTCGGATAAACGAACGATTCGTATAAATTTTTTTTGTCTTGTAAAACAATGAGAAAATAAATCAATACCGAAAATCAAAGACCGTTCAATATCTAATATTTTCATCAAATTAACGCGGATAAATGAACAATTTGTATCAATCTTTTTTTCTTTTATAGAGAAATCAAAGACTAAATCAGTATCGAAAACCGGATATTGATTAATACTATAAATCAGCGTTAAAAAATTGTCTATGTGCAATGACAAGTTGTTTTCATCTTGCAGGTACTTACCCCACTAATTTACTCAACAAATTGAGTCGGATAAAAGAACGATTCGTATTCAATTTTTATTCTGTTGTAAAGAAATTAAAGAATCAGTCAGTACCGAAAATTGAAGACCGATCAATATTTAATGTATTCATCAAATTAACGCGGATAAATAAACGTTCCATATGATTTTTTTTTTCTTATTGAGAAGTGAAAGAGTAAATCAGTACCAAAAATCGAATGTCGATTAATACCATAAATCAGTGTCAAAAAATTGTCCAAGTGCAATGACAATTTGTTCTCATTTTTCAGGTACTTACCCCTTTATCTCATTCAACAAATTAACTCGGATAAACGAACGATTCGTATCAACTTTTTGGCTTGTAAAACAATGAAAAAATAAATCAGTACCGAAAATCGAAAACCGTTCAATATCTAATTTTTTCATCAAATTAACGCGGATAAATGAACAATTTGTATCAATCTTTTTTTCTTTTATAGAGAAACCAAAGACTAAATCAGTATCGAAAACCGGATATTGATTAATACTATAAATCAGCGTTAAAAAATTGTCTAAGTGCAATGACAAGTTGTTTTCATCTTGCAGGTACTTACCCCACTAATTTACTCAACAAATTGAGTCGGATAAAAGAACGATTCGTATTCAATTTTTATTCTGTTATAAAGAAATTAAAGAATCAGTCAGTACCGAAAATTGAAGACTGATCAATATTTAATTTATTCATCAAATTAACGTGGATAAATGAACGTTCCGTATGATTTTTTTTTTCTTATTGAGAAGTGAAAGAGTAAATCAGTACCAAAAATCGAATGTCGATTAATACCATAAATCAGTGTCAAAAAATTGTCCAAGTGCAATGACAATTTGTTCTCATTTTTCAGGTACTTATCCCTTTATCTCATTCAACAAATTAACTCGGATAAATGAACGATTCGTATCAACTTTTTGGCTTGTAAAACAATGAGAAAATAAATCAGTACCGAAAATCGAAAACCGTTCAATATCTAATTTTTTCATCAAATTAACGCGGATAAATGAACAATTTGTATCAATCATTTTTTCTTTTATAGAGAAACCAAAAACTAAATCAGTATCGAAAACCGGATATTGATTAATACTATAAATCAGCATTAGAAAATTGTCTAAGTGCAATGACAAGTTGTTTTCATCTTGCAGGTACTTACCCCACTAATTTACTCAACAAATTAAGTCGGATAAAAGAACGATTCGTATTCAATTTTTATTCTGTTGTAAAGAAATTAAAGAATCAGTCAGTACCGAAAACTGAAGACCGATCAATATTTAATTTATTCATCAAATTAACGCGGATAAATGAACATTTCGTATGAATTTTTTTTTCTTATTGAGAAATGAAATAGTAAATCAGTACCAAAAATCGAATGTCGATTAATATCATAAATCAGTGTCAAAAAATTGTCCAAGTGCAATGACAATTTGTTCTCATTTTTCAGGTACTTACCCCTTTTATCTCATTCAACAAATTAACTCGGATAAACGAACGATTCGTATCAACTTTTTGGCTTGTAAAACAATGAAAAAATAAATCAGTACCGAAAATCGAAAACCGTTCAATATCTAATTTTTTCATCAAATTAACGCGGATAAATGAACAATTTGTATCAATCTTTTTTTCTTTTATAGAGAAATCAAAGACTAAATCAATATCGAAAACCGGATATTGATTAATACTATAAATCAGCGTTAGAAAATTGTATTGATTGAATTGAGAATCAGTCAGTATCGAAAATTGAAGACCAATCAATATTGAATTTATTCATCAAATTAACGCGGATAAATGAACGATTCGTATGAATTTTTTTTTCTTACAGAGAAATGAAAAAATAAATCAGTACCGAAAATCGAATATCGATTAATATCATATATCAGTGTCAAAAAATTGTCTAAGTGCAATGACAAGTTGTTTTCATCTTGCAGGTACTTACCCCACTAATTTACTCAACAAATAAACTCGAATAAACGAATGATTCATATCAATTTTTCTTGTCTTATAAAAGAAAAGAGAGAATAAATCAGTACCGAAAATTGAAGACCGATCAATATTTAATTTATTCATCAAATTAACGCGGTTAAATGGACGATTCGTATCAATTTTTTTTTCTTGTAGAGGAATGAAAGAGTAAATCAGTACCGAAAATCGAATATCGATCAATACCAGAAATCAGTGTTAGAAGATTGTCCAAGTGCAATGACAATTCGTTCTCATTCCTGAGTCTTTCCCGAGTCGAAATATTAATTCTACATTGATCCTGCAAATTGCATCCAATTTGAAAAATCAATGTAGAATATCCAGGTGCGCAATAGTGAACAAGCTTTGTCCTACCTGAACGTTACATCTGGCTACTCTCGCAGTCTCGCCCATGATGAGTCTTCAACAGCGACGTATTCCGCAGTTATTTAATACGTTTATTTCGATAATGTATATGTACTTAATCCTTATATTCTTAATTTAAATGAGCAATTTTTGTTGATTTTGATTATATATTCGCTTAACAGCGCAAGAAAGAGAACAAAGATAAAAACGTAAATAGAACTGCCTTTGTTAGAACTGCGCGTGAGATAAATATATAAGGATTAAATAATCATATAAGAATTAGAGGAAATGTGGGATGAAAAACACTTTTTATTCTCATCATTCTTAAAGTTCTTTTTTCCTTTTTTCTTCTCTTTTTTTTTCTTTTCTTTTTTCTAATGAGAATGATGAGAATTGTAGCTCTTAAAAGAGCTGAAGCTGCAAAAAGACAACGGTTATGTCTAATAATGCTGTTTCACTAATAGAGATTTTAATTCTGATTCGATACAATAAGAAAGATAAACAAGAATGAGAAACGGACATTCTAGCAGATTCTAAACGAAAACAGCAATCTGAGCATTATTAGACGAATAAAAATCAACACTTGTAAAATTTATATTAGATTCTAAGATCATTATTCATAGTTTTTTTTTAATTATGTGCAATTTTTCATTGAGAACATAATTAAAAATTTGTATTCATAAACCTTAGCTTGCCTCAGCAACCTTGCTTGAATAGACATTCATATTTTACGAGAAAAGAAAAGTAGAACTCATGTTACGTGAAATCAGTTTAACGAATAATCAAATCTCAAGCTATTTTTCAAATGATAAACTATGAATGCTGATCTAATTTCGACTCGGGTATGTCCTTACTTCGAGTAAGGTCCGTTAAAATTAGAAAAATCCTACGTAATAATAATTACTCGAGGTACCTCGAATATCATACATGATGTATCGCTGTCCTCGGCTGCGTCTCTCGGCGCGCTCCGAGTCCTCTCTCCATCCTGACTTCTCGATCCGACGTCTTCC